AACTAAAAGTTGGGTGTCCAGTCATTCTATTACGGAATATGGATCAAACTGTTGGCCTTTGTAATGGTACTAGAATGGTTGTGAAGACTTTGGGTAAATGGTTCATTGAGGTCGAGATTTTGACAGGTACCAATGTCGGTGATCGTGTCTTCCTCCCCAGATTGACATTATCAACCCACTACAAGAGTCTTAATTTCACCCTCATTAGAAGGCAATACCCTGTTGCTCTTTGTTTTGCCATGACTATTAACAAAAGTCAGGGTCAAACACTAGCCAATGTCGGTTTATGTCTTCAAAGACAAGTTTTTAGTCATGGTCAGCTATATGTTGCATTGTCAAGAGTTACTACAAGGCAAGGATTGAAGATTTTGAGTGCCAATGAGAATGGAGAGGATGGCACTTCAGTGGTGAACATAGTATTCCCAGAAATATTTGATTGATTTATAGGAACTTCAATTCATGTTTAACTTATGATTACAGTTTATTTTTTTTATGGACAATTGTTAGGCGTGATGTTTGGCTATTTATTTTTGTGACCACAATTTCCCTAGCAATAACATTTTGGTATACGCTGTTGTATTCTTTCACAATTATTACATTTTACTTTTAACTATCATCCCGCTCTAGCGTTTCCAAATCTATGTTAACTATCATCATGTAAAAAAAACTAATGATATCCATATGTAAAATATTTTTTTGGATTTAAAAATACAACTTATCCAATGGACTATATGTTTTTAAGCATTGAGCTTATGTATCTGGCTACTGATGAAAAGAAAAGTTCGTACTCATAGATTACTCAAGAGATCTGACGATTTTAGGAAAACATTAATACATTTGTAGAATTTACAATTCTGTTATTACCAATATTATATATACAATGACACTTTAACATTTTTAAAAGCCTAAATTATAAATGCTATATTTGAAATGGAAAAATGGGCTTATTTCCTATGTGGCTCATGAATTAATTGGGCCCAGAGTTTTGGCAAAACCCATAGCAAATGACTACACACAGGCGGCCTGATACATTCCAAATTCACCTTTCTAAATTGGGCCTGTGGGGGGGTTTTTTTTTTGTTTGGGCGGCTTCCTAAATGCATTGGCAGCGAGTTCCAACTCTAAAGTCTAGAGTACAACAATTTAAAAGGAATTAACAAATAGCAAGGAAGGTGACAGTAAACAAAGAGCAAAATTATATGATGCTCAAAATATGGTTACATGAAGGACCACCTCAAAAGGATAATAAACTTTCAAAAAATATTTGCGTTCACATATCCATTACGCGGTTAGATAATTCGAAATTACAGCGAGGTGGACCATTACTAACATTAATCCGATTATATTAATAATACCCTACGCTACTTAATCATCTAAAATCGGGAACAACTTAACCAAGAAGAGATCAAGACGATTCTCCACGTTGTTCCAAGGTCCGAATGTCACCAAGACCTTATATGGCGTCTCACCAATCATGTTGAGTAGTGGAACGTACTCCACATCTTCCATCTCATCAGGACCAACAACAGCAGACATGATTCGCCGTAAGTAAGCTGATGGAAAAATGACCTCAATATCGGTGGTGTCATCTTCAATTGTCAAGTGAAGCAAGTATATGCTGGATGCGGCATGCCAAGATCTCCTCAATTCTGTGACAAAGCCATTGAAAATGTATGACTTGCCCTGGTACAAGCCAAAACATAAGGAGTTCAAAATAAGACCAAATTAGATGCAAATTCTTGAGATAAAATATAGATTCCGGATAGATAAAATACATGTTATCTGAATCACCTGATTAGCAACATCCAATTGCATAGGGATAAGATCTATAGTTTCTACAGTGTCCCAAATTGCTGCGGCAACTTCATAGTGCAGATTTGAAACGAAGTCTCCCATGGAAAAAAATCTATAATTTAGATTAGTAGCAATATTAGCAACTCTATCAACAAATGTTAGAGCTGTAAAACTAATCAACTAATTATGTAAACCCGAATATACACAAACAATAGCAAACCAATACATGAATGTGTCAATGCTTCGATGTATTTTACAATTGGACCTATATTTGATTTCTGTTGAAGTTTTCTTCTTTGATTTGTAACTGGAATTTTATCACGCAACTCGACTACATATTATACAAACATACAAAGTTTAGTTGAACTGCAAGACACACTATGTAATCAGAATCAACCTAAATAATTGTGACATATATGTCCTAAACTATGGATCAATGCTATGCTAAAATCCAAGCATGAGTTATTAATCATGTCGATGAATTCAATAGGCTAACCGCATTAGTTCAGAAAAAGGATGGATGCTAACTCACCTGTGGGCGTTGCAAGTATTTCCTTGGAGTATCGAACTCAAAAAAAAAATTCTGGCTGCTAAGATTGTAGTAGATCTGGAGAAACCTAATTTGAAGGCTAGCAAGCGAATGTAATTGATGAGTGGGCTGGAAAAATTGGTTGAAGTTCTAGATGAGAGGAAAGGGGAGATTTTGCCGAGGTAGGGTTTTAGAAATTACCTTTATAGATGCTGAGATAGGACTAACGTCGATCAGGCAGAGAGAAGGCCTGGAAAATGAGTGCATGCACTGGAATGGGTTTCCAGTTGCTTTGTTCGCCGGAGAGTGAGCAGAGCAGAAGAAGGCGTCAGGGAGGAAGGGAGTTGAAACGTCTTCTGGGTCTTTACGGGGTAAGACTTTAGAACTTACCTCCTGCAGATGTAGAGATGGTACTAATATCGGTCAGTCAGGGAGGGCTGGAACATGAGTGCATGCAATGGCTTGGTTGGACAGGTGGTCTTCTCGCCGGCGAGTGAATAGTGACGTCGTGACTCGGTGCCGTTGTCGGCGTCCGCGCGAGTGGTGATTCGACGGCAGGGTTGTTCGACGAGGGAGAATGAGCGAGAGTAGTGGGAGGGTCGGGTTTTGCGGAGGGAGCGGGAAGCAGGAGAAGCAGAAGATGGCGGGTTGGGGATGTGGATGGTCAGGTTTCTGTGGAGGGACTGGAGGGTAGGTGAGAGCGATGGAGGAGGGAAAGGAAGAAGGGAGTTAAACCGTCTTCGGGTGGGTGGGGGGTTTTTATTGTTTTTTTTTTTGGGTTCGTATTTGTTTGATCCAAACGTGGCTATGGCTGTCCATTTGGTTTGGGTTTTTTGGTTTTAACCAAACCCAAACTAATTGGAAAGCTAATTGTTTCTTTTGTTTTGTTTTAAACCAATAAGCAACTTAATGGGTTTGGTTTGGTAAAAACCGAAAAACCAATAGAAACCATTAAGAATAAAATTATTCATCCACAAGATTTTTTTTTCTTGTTGTTTCTTTTGACACGCATGCCAACCAATAATTTGTGCTGACCATACAGATATGTTTTTGTCAAATGATAATAAATAAATGAATACCTAACTCTTTTTTTTTTTTACTCGATGATACGAGTGATTTACTGGCTAAAAAATTCACTAATTCAAAATGGTATTCATTTATTTTATCAATCTGCCAACCTTAGCGATGCCTTGTCAATTGATTCATGTTTATGAGAAAATGCCACACCTAATTTCAACTCCTCCTTCCAAACAACAAAACGCTGCTGAAAGGGATCGTCTTAAGCAACGTAGTCCCGCGACTCATTTGTTAGTACATTAAAGTAAATTTTAAAGTGTTACAAAATCGTAATAATTTGATCTGTATATTTCACTTGCAGAAATACTCACCATCCAAGCACAAGTGCACCATATTGATCACTTGATTTCCAAAAACCCTTTACTTTGAGGAAAACGTCATTGGGATGGATGCATTGCACCATCCCAATTAAATCTTCCCGTGTGTTAAATGTAAATTAACGAAAGATAATTTTTTTTTTTGTATAGTTTAATTGATCAATAAAAATCAAATGGTAAATGAATTGGCAGAAAAGTGCCAACGCCCATTTCACTCTCCCAACTTTTATTGCCGCCAGTGTAAAGGGAAAAGTTCAGCCTAGGATATGTGATTTTGTCTCTATACTTCTCTAAGGTAGATAGATATATAAATGGACCCATTCTAAATAACCAAGGCAAAAACATATTTCACACGGGCCTGTTACACATTACGGGCCATCTATAGCCCACAATAGGATCTCATATGTGAATGTCGTTGCGCAAAACAACAGTGGAGTAGGTTTCGGCCCACATGTTTCTTTTTTTTTTTTTTTTGGGCGGCTTCCTAGCAGCATTGGCATCGAGTTCCAACCCTAGAGGCTAGAGTACAACAAAAAATTCCCGGTGCAACCATTGCCTTTCACCGACGAGTGAATTGCGACCACAATCTCGGATCCCCGTCGGCAGCGAGCGCTTATCTGAGGATGGCGCTAGCTAACCGGTTTTCCCCATGCGGAACACCTGCCCGAAATAGCCATCTTCCCATATCCCTAATTGGAAGAAGCAACCAATTGCCCAGACTACATCCGCCACGAACATTGCAGTTCAATTCAACCGGGTGCAGATTGGAAGATGGTTTCCACCTGGAATCAGACGTCATGCAGTCAAAGCCTCAGCTCCGAATGTGGCCCTCTTTGCGGCGGCAGCGGGGAATAAAAGGAACCGCGTTGCTTTTCAATCGGAGGTTCTCCTTGAACATGGATGGTAATTTCTACTGGCTCTGTTTTGGCGGGATGTCGGTCCTTGGGAAATTTACATTGGCCTATAACCGACACATTTGAATTTCCCCTCTATTTCAATCTCCAGCTCTACATCCCTTGAATAAGCAGCTAACGTTGGTGTAGCAGTTACCTTCCGGAGATGTTGCTGGTGCTTGCCAACGTGGGGTAATTGGTAACTGCCCCAACTGGAATCCACATATATATACCTTCTCTAAATTTCTCGGCTCATTTTAGATTTCAGTTGTCACTTGCTAAATCCCGCCAGGTAACTTCTTCTTCCCAGAAGTTTTCTCCCACTTCATTCCTCCATCAAACCAACCTCCTATTCCTACACTATAACTAAGTGCTTAAGTATTTTGGTAGCTACACCATGTCGTTCAATGGCATCCGAGATCTTGAGTCCGAGAAACAACTCTGGTCAGGTCATTGTCGCGTCTCCAGGGCATGGTTGGGTGTTAATGTGACGACTGATAAAGTCCTGCATTTCGATCTCATCTTGATGGATGCCAAGGTACGGCTGTGTTTAACATTAACTTCAGTTGCGTCACATATCATCCAGTCTGTCTTACTTCGTCTCTATAAATCCCCAGGGAAATGATATATGGGTGCATATCCCACCAGTGCTGCAAGAACACTTCAAACGATTGCTGCAGGAACAGCAGGTCTACACCATTAGAAACTTTGAGCTTCACACGACCCAACTGAAATATCGCCCCATTGCCAATACATATATCATGTCGTTCTCCCGGAAGAATACTGTTGAGCATGTTCCTGATGTCCCTTCCATTCCTGCCTTCAAATTCAATTTCCTGAAAGCAAGTGAGATGGCATCTAAATTGAACGATGTGGTCGTCCTCTCAGGTTACAACCGCAATTTATTCAGTGGTTAATTTCCTTTCTGTGCTTGCTTGCGTCTAATGTCCATTCACTTTTCTTTGTATAGATGTTGTTGGGCAAGTAGTACAGCACTCGGATGCCATCAAGACAACGAATCTTGCTAGGAAAACCATTCGGAAGGAGCTTCAACTGAAACTAATCGAGTAAGAGCTATCTTTCCTACGGCTGTATCAATATGAATTTGGAGTTACATGAATGATTGACGATTGCTTGGGTACAACGTTATACTTTTTCGAGGCAGTATCAATTTATATCATAGGTTATTCAGCCTCTGATCATATACATTCATATTTGTCACTTCATTGTATGGCGTTCATTTACACCCAGGCTCAGGCACTACTTATGTTCTCAAACCTAAGCCTACGTTGTTTTACAGAGGGGATGTTGTCAAAGTTATTATCTGGGGAAGAGTTGTAGCTTACTTTGATAAGTTGATCAAACCTGGTGATGATGAACAAGTCATACTGGTTGTAACTGCTGTTTCTGTCAAACCCTTCCTAGGTACAAAATCTGTTTACACTGTGTTGCATTTGAGACATATGGGTGACTGATCAGTAGGAACTACATCAATTTAATTTTCCAGGTGAACTTTGCTTTAATTCTTCGGGTTCAACAGTGTTGTACCCCAACCTTGATATCCCAGAAGTAAAGGCTTTCACAACCAGGTATTCTCTTTTAATTGCTAATGAATCTCTGAACCATACTGTTGAACCAATGTCAAATTAACATATTCATTTCTTTTGAAAAAGGAATGTGCAACCACAGCAGCCCGTGTTTGTTGAATTACCCCCACCCCCCTTCATTCCTAATATTACTCTATCGGAATTGCTGGAACTTCAATTGGACCCTGATAATGAGGTTAGATTATTGTGTGTTCTCTAATTTTACGGTATGGTGTTTTCTCTAATCTATACTCCAATATTAATTCACTTCGACTACAAATAGGAATGTGTGTATGCTGTGGAATGCAAAGTCGTAGGAATCAAGCCATTTTGGTGTTATATGGGCTGTCCAACCTGTGTCCTTAAACCCATAGAAAGACATGGAGAATACTACTGTGTCAAATGCAACAAGCCAACACCAACAAGAGCTGCCAAGTAAAGACCATATCATTGAGTTCCAAACTAAATTCCACCAGACCCTTGAATTATAAACTTCATTGAATATGCTGCCTTTCCATTTCGTGCCTTTCCAGATATCGTATACAGCTTGATGTTGAAAGCAATTCTGTGCTAGCTACCTTTATCATCTTTGAGTATGAAGCAAAACGCTTCTTTGGTGTCAGTGGTAATGACCTTTTCAATAGGACGGGCCAGAACAATGAGGTACCCCCTCCAGATCTACTCCAAATAGTTGGTGATACCAAACTATTTCATGTCAAGTTCAAGATAAATCTCTACAGTGATTCACAAGCTGATTTCACCGTTTTAAAAGTCTTGGAACCCACAGAACAGGTGAGTTACTCATTAGATCTTCCAGACTAATAACTCTAATATACTGTTTTTGTGTCCAATGACTATGACATATGTTTGCATGACCTGATTCGTACTTGATTAATAATAGCTTTCATTGAATCCTCTTAAAGTCCTACTATTAATTGTTTCTACTTTCCACCATTTTGAATTTCAGTCTCCAGCTTCTGTTCTTCACAAAGATGCCTCATGTTCATCAATTACCAGTGGAGTTGAGTCCTCCCAAACTTCATCTCAACATTCCATCCCAAATCCAGCACATCAAGAGGCAGACAAAGGCGTTTCTGTTGATATCACACCTGATAATAAACTGAAACGAAAGATGCACCCAGAGTGATATCTGAGGGGTGGAACGTTATGTAACTAATATCCTATTAGTAGTTCCACTTTGATTCTGTAGGAGAACAGTTCAATTTCCTTTTGTTGCTAGACTGCTGGGTGTTTGTCGAAACTGTTTACTGGTTTTCCTTTGTTCCCGTTTGTTGTGTTGCACACTGACAATGGGTCGTTGTGCCATACAAGGATTGATGGATTTCAATATACGTACCTATTTTCTTGGATGCAAAAACAGTAGTTGAGGAGCTGGTCGATACAAGTGATATCAAAAAATACAACGTCAAATTTCAAATGAAACATATTGAATGACATTTCAGAGTTCAATCCAGTACAGTTAAACAACTTGGACATCACCAAAGATCCATTTCATTTTGGAGTATAAGGAAAAGAAATGTTAATAGTTACTAATCCAACTCTGACCAGGTAATTAGCATCAATGAAAGGATCATTGGCTGCTTCCATTTTCACATCATGCCGAGATCAAGGTTGCTATGTGCAGAACCAGACTTATGATTCGACCAAACCCTGCATTAGACCAGTCACACTATCAGTCAGAATCCAGACAAGTCTTTGGGGAAAAAATGTTAATAGTTCCTAAGCCGATGCTTACTATGTACTGCTACTTTCGCTTGCCAATATGGGCTGTCACTTTCCTATTAAAATATATTATAAATACAAATAATAAGTCCTTAACTGCCATGATCACCACGTTCTTCCACTATGCCACCCATTCTCAAGCTGAAACCAACTTCCTTCCCTGCAAGTCTATATAAAGAACATTTCCAGCACGTGGAAAGGTTTGCTGCCATCCAAAGTATTGACTCTTTTCCAGCGTGCGGTATCAGTGATGGCTCTCCGCAATTTAGCCCAATTGAACATCCATGACGATGACCAGGCTGTTCGCGTCAGGCTCCTGCGTTTATGGCATACAATGAGGCCTGATGGTGTAACGCTTGACCAAATCCACATGTTGTTTCTCGACAACCAGGTACTTTGATTTTATAAGTCTTCTATTCGTTACATGAGTGGGAAGTACGCTATTCAATTCTAAAAATACTCAAAGATTTTTTACCGTGACTTTTAGGGAACAGAGATGCAGGCCTTGGTTGATATTCTTAATGTTCAGTTGTTTGCTCCTCTTCTTCACGTGGGAAGGATCCATTTCTTGAGCAACTTTTTGGTCCAAGAATATGATGATACGTATAGAGTTGCTCCTGCAACTATCCGAATCCGCTTTCATAATGATACGGTGATTGAGGAACTCCAGAATGCAGCCGACATACCAACATATAGCTTTCGGTTTTTGGCTGCTAATGATCTTCCCTTTGCTGTCCATAATCATGAATATTTGTCTGGTATTTCTAATTCAAAGGAAAGCTTTATTTGGCCGGTTTGGTTTTCATATTGTGTGCCTAACGATATGTTTGGGATCAGATTTAATTGGGGAGGTTGAAACGGTTGAACAAGAAGAGGTCCTATTCGAAGATGCTGCTATTTTAAGGCGAAAGGGAGTGCAGCTTAGATTGATTGAGTCAGTTGGTTGTTTTTTTGTACAGGTTACATTTGAAGTGTGCTTACCGTATGCAGCCCATTCATGCATCTTTTTTTTAAAAAAATTTTAGGGGACCTATAGTTGATGTCGTCTTATGGGATGCTCTAATTGACGAATTTCAAGCTGTGACACCTAATGATCCTTTACCAGGAACAGTAGTTGTCTTCACTTCCGTTGTTGTTCGCCACTTCGCAGGTCTCTTACATGGTTTTCATTCTAATTTTCCAACCTGTTCTTTTAGTTTAGGTTAGTGGTAATTGAGTTTTTAGATGTTATGGTTTTAGGGGAAGAATATTGTGTGGGCTCAAATGCAACGAAAGTATATTGCAACTTGCACTATCCTCACGTGCACCCCCTGCTTGATAAGTAAGTGTTTAACCTTTGATCAATAGAATCAATTCTTTTATTATTCTTATTCTCATGTTTTGGAATTATTTTTTTATTTATTTACAGTATAGAAAATGTCCGCTGGCCATTGACTACACGTTGGAGGATGCTATATGGTTAAGTGAGATATGTTCCATTTCGGAACTGAATCTATACAAGACTGATTTCACCAACCAGGTAGTTTATATGTACACTCGGTCAACTCCTACAAAAATTTCAACATTCATATTTTGCTCCCATTGAATATCATAATTGTTGGCCTGGACACCATGGTTGGATGTAACTGCGTCTCTAATGCTCTAACTTGACCAATGAAATATCAATTATCCTCTTACCATTCCCAAATGTAAGCTTTCATGTGGTTCATATTGCAGGGGAATTTGTACCTTACTACTGCAACAGTCAAGGATGTTACTGTTTCTTGGTCAAGTGTGCATCTCAAGTTTATGGTGAGGCTGACTGTTGCTACTGGTCCTCATGAGGCTTCTATCATGTTTATGACTACCAAGTTCCGTTGGATAGCAAGCCGTATCATTGAGGCTACAGACAAGGAATGGACCAATGACTTCAGGACTCTCCTAGCTGCTCTCAGGGGGAATATATTGAAGTTTATGATTGAATTCGGAGATTTCAACGGCCAGACCAATGAGTTTGATTTGGTTCTTCGCAAATTATTCTGGTAGAGGGGGTGATGTACTTGAACAGTGCTTTAATCCAAAGATAATTTCTGTATATTTGTTCCAATTATGAATGTTGAACTCTTTCCCCGAATAGATTATTACTTGGCTGCTCCATCTATCTCATGTGGGTTTTACCAATGTGATGCTTATTATTATGTTCCAAATATTACAGCCCACTTATTAAATTTCATATATTCGTATAAATATTTTAACTGAACAATTTGTAACTTAAATTGACCAAAAAATGAATTCGTTCTCATTTGATTTCATGTTTCAACGTTTGTCAAATGCGCCGCTTATGTTTAGTTTACCCGCCCAACGGACCGGGCCCTACGCTAGTTATTATTAAGGGGAGAAACCAACCCCCACCCGTTACTCTAACTCTCGGTCTCTCTCAGACTCTCACCCCTTCTAATTCTCCAATCCCACCATAACCCCACCTTTATTTTCCCCAAACGTCTCCATTATATTCCTCTCCTCGCCTAATAATAGCAGCAGCAACGGATCAAGAAAAAATTAGAAAGGGGAGAAAAGAAAGAGAGTGGCAGCCGAGAACCGCCGCCTACACCGGCCTCTCCGCCAAGCTGATTACTTGGACTAATGTATTGGTGTCCATGAAAACCCTGGCAAGACGGGCTGATTGGCCTTCACGAGCTCCGAATATAAAGCTGGGGAATACGTGAAGATGAAAAGAGAGGTAAGTGCCTTTCCGTCATATTCGATCTTGGTGATTATTTGTAGTTATAGTTAATGGGAAGGGCGAATATAAATGGCACGAGTTTGGGTAAATTACTGGGTAATTTAATCAAGGCATGCATCTTCGGAAATGGGTTCCATTTTTTTGACACACGCCTTGCAAAATCACTAATTTGGACCCTTGTGCATGGAGTTAGAGACACGTGATTTGAGCATGGCCTAACTTGGGAGCTTTTCTTTTAGTGAATGCCATGATTATATGGATTTGGCTGTGGGGTTTAGAATTAATATAGGTCACTTGTCTTTTGTGGTGTATATCTAAGTGGCTAAAGATACTGGTAATTAAGCTAACGAGATTGGGAGAAGTGAAGCAGAGCTATTTCAAAGAATAATTATATGGAGATTTGTGTATCAGAATGTTCATTGAAGAGGAAGTCGTATATCACATGAAGATAAGAATTGAGTTATGAGTATGTTACATGGGTGCTTCTGTGGCCATTTAAGGAAAGGAGGGGGTACGAGATCACATTACCAGAGTCGGAGGCTTGGCATCAGGGGCAGGTTCATCAACTGATCACTAAGGTGAGTGTAAAAGGAGTAAAATCTTCGTAGAGGTCTTTTAGTTTATGTCTTTTAATTCAATCAACAGTATAATTTATAGCTGAAAAGTAAAACTGCACCCCCCATTCAAAATTTCCTGCCCATAGAGTGATTTTAGGAAGCTGATGTGGCAGAGTGTTAAGCGGGGGAAAAAAAGGAGTCCCCGCCTGATTTCAGAACCCAAAAACTGTCCACTACCCACCTTTTCTCCTGCCAGGCCACGTTGTCATTTAATTTGCATTTAATTTTTATTTGGCTGAAATAAGCCCACCTTTTCTACTGTTATTAAGAGAGAGAAGAAATTCACGGAAAGGGAATCTCAATTGCAATCACATTACAGAGAGAGAGGGGGAAAGGTGAAAGGGAGAAGGAAGGAAGGTGGTCGGGGATCAAGGACAGCTCTTGAAAGGAGGTTTGGTGTGGCGTCGTGGAGACGTAGCCTTCCTGCGCCGAAGTTGAGGTTTCGGACCGCCGCTATAATCACCGTCGCGCTCGGACGAATCGGAGGTGGGAAGAATTCGTTGGAGTTGGAGTCGAAGGTGAATCCCAGCGAAGCCTGCGCCTCCTGGATCGATTTGGGGCTGCGATGGATCGAATGTTAGGGTTTGGAGGCGGCGGGAATTTGGGGTTCTGAGGAGGACCTGGATCGATTTGGGGTGCAACTTTGATCTGGGGAGGGAAAGACGTGAGAGAAGTGGAGGGCAAGACCCAGTCGGTGGCAAATTTGGTGAATTAGAGGTTTGGGGGAGCAGTAGAGGGTTAAAGTCTGATTGTGTTCATCAATGGCGGAGCCCTAACGACTCTAGAGGAAGCTGATTACTACGCCGTCGCGAAATGCTGCGTGGTGAATGCAAATGGAGTCGCTCTACCATGAAGGCTTTTTGTATCATACTAGACAACCGTTGTGTCCTCAAGTCCCCAGTCCTACTATTGAATTCAACATTTTCGGGAACACCAAGGTTCAAGTACTTCACTCTTCATTCTCCGATTTCTTCATATAATATATGTTATGGGATGGGACATCTGATTCACATTTGGGTTGGTGTTGCATTCTTGCTGTTGTTACATTGATTCACATCTTATTCACATCGGTTCTCACTGGTCGCTCGAGCTTGACGTTTAATTTGGTTGGCTATTCTTCCATTCTCTTCCTTCCTTCATGCAACGATTATAATGAATTCTAAACTAATGTCTTCTGTTATCTGGGAATTTCAGTTATAGGCTGTGTGGGTTTTACAGCAGGGATTTCTAGATTGGTGTGTTGGGTTCAAGAACCTCACTGCTCTGCAAATTAGCTATAGTTTTGTTGCATTCGATTTATTCCTCCATTTTCACTCATGACCACCTGGGATTGGGTTCTCAATTCGGCCGCTGTGTTGCTCTCTTCTTCTGTAGTTGATGGATAGGTCTGTGTCGGTTTACAACAAGGAGTTCTAGACTGGTGTGTTGGGTTCGAGGACCTCCATGCTCTGTGAATTAGTTATAGGTTTGTTGCATTTGATGTATTCCTCAATTTTCACTTATGACCACCTGGGATTAGGTTCTCAATTCGGCCGTTGTGTTGCTCTCTTCTTCTGCAGGTGATGGATCAGCTTTGTTTGTTTCAAAGCTAGCGCTACCTCTGTTATCCCCTTCCCTTAATATTCAGGGGGCTTACTATGCTTCTTTATCTTTTGTAAGTTGTTATTACTCTTCTATACAAAGAAAAGGGAGTGATACCCGAGCTCATTCTATTTGTTATTGCAGGTTTGCGGTCTTAATCTATGTTTTATATACAACACATTCAGAATGCTGGGTTCATTAATCTACAACACAAACCAGCTTACACATAAAAGAGGTTCATCATGAGCCTAGAAGGGATATAAATGCATTGGAACTAATCTGGTGCGAGTAACCACTTGAGGGTCTTGAAAATAAGGGTATGTGCTATATATGTTCTTCATCGAGAACTACAATGAAGGCTATGTTGCGATACAACTTACTATGTTGCTCTGATCTGTGTAAGTTGTTGATATCAATTATTTAAGAAAAAGGGCTCTTTAAGTTCAATGTCGATGATTAATTCTCTCTTTCCGGCTGCTGCTACTGTTTCTTAAGTTCGATTGCAACGGACTTCATAAAAAAGTAGGCATCGCAGGTTAGAGTTTACAATTGGCACTGTCACTTTTGTCTCAATTAGAATTGTATCACTTACCAATTGCATACTGAATAGTAATAGGGACTCTAGACCTCAGTGTTCCTTTACCTACGAGTTTGTAGCTGGGCTGTTCGGACCTCATCTGCAATACTGTGAATCAGTAAGTTTGATATGTTTTCCACTGTCAAGTCCATTATAAGGGGATTCTTTAATCCAAACAGTTTGTTTCATTGACATTATGGCTTTACATAAATACAAGGAAATGGATTTTAAGATAAAGGTTACTCGATATATGTGTGTTTATAAAGTGGCAAATGATTATGTATAATTGTTTATGGCTGTGGCATACCTTCTTAATTTTCAAGTGATTTCGACAGCTGAGTTTGGGTTATGTAGACCTGTAAAGGATTGCCTTCTTAACTTTGATTTGTTTTTGTATACATGTCCTGTATTCAACTGGTGCACTAGACTTTAGTGTTTGGAGATTGCTGTGTGGACGCTATAGTGTACTGACTTGCCTGCATTCTGCCGGATGGCCAGGTCGAGCTAACCAATGCTGGTGGTTGCACCCGTAGGGTGCACGGTCACCACCTGAAGCTGTACCTCAAGAGCTATGTGGATCCGCTCTTGGAGTCACCTGTTCCTGCACTCCGCTGAGTATCCGCCATGGGCGTCCAGCTAAAAGACGGTAAAGAAGCGCTTGTGGGGAGGCAACCCCACCATGGTTTTCATTTATTTCTTTTGTTTTGGGTCGGATTGCCAATAGCTTTGGCTTTGGTTTGTTTTCTTTTGTCTTGGATGATGTACTATTGGGCTGACCATTGGACCTAACGTATTGTGTTTGAGCTCTTTGGTTTCCTTTAGCTGTGTTATGCCTGACTGGTCCTCTCTCCAGTCTGTTTCATGCCGACTGGTCCGTTTTCCAGTCTCCTGCAGTCTGTGCACACCGGTAACATCGTTCCCCTTTCCTTCCCTCTTCTCCATTGAGGGCCATGTCGATCTTAAGTGTGGGGGGGGGGATGTTTATCTTTTGACTGCATTAGATCTGTTTGTGTGCTTGAAGCCTAGTCCACTGTCCAAATTTTTAAAATTTGAGGGCTTCAAGTACGTGTTCCTTGCAATTACCTGCTCAGTATGCTTTGAATTGACAGTCTCTGTAGTGATTTGCAACTTAGGGAGGTAGTGTAGCACTATGGAGGATGTTGATGCATTTAAGAAGTCTCATTTCTTCTTCATATTGTGTTGGTTGATTGAGTGAATTAGTGATCTTAGGACCCTTGAATTGTGTGGTGTTGTGGACTCTCTGCCTGTCATGGACTCTTGTATCATGTTTTGAAAATAACAGGTGCTCGAAAATGTGCTTTAAAATAACGTCTCCCGTGCGAATAGGGCGAAAGTGTGTAAGGGGAGACGGGAATCCGTTCCCAATTTCCACCTACTACCTCCAGCCCCCTTACATGTCTTTCCCCTGCACGAGGCTCGAGACACCCGCTCCTGGCATGGCCGGTAAGAGCCGGGCTCCCGCAAAACCTTTGCTAGGTGGGAGCCCTCGTTTTCTGAAAAAACAGGTTGGAACCCTAGAAAAAAAAACAGAAAAACAAGCAAAAAGAAGAAAGAAAAGGGGTTCCAACCATCTTCAAGAGGAAAATCGAGCACCTTGAAAAAATGTGAGTCCATGATCCTTTGTTTTTTAGAGTCTCGTCATCCACGATTCATTTGTCCTCTGTTCACTATTTGCCATGATGCCGACTCAAGACTAGTGCTCTCGCCGAAGAAGCTATGAGATGACTTGTGCGTCGGTTGACCTCGTAAGCTGCTAAATGATCTAGGAAGTCCTCTACCTACGATCGAGGTTGTTTGTTGCTATAGAGGTCTGGAGAGTTGCATTGGGTTGAGTTAGGTTTTCTTGAGGACAAGCAAACGGTTAAGTGTGGGGGAGTTTTATAGACCGATAATTACACATGTTTTCACCCATTTTCTGAAGCCGTTTGGGATGTGGACTCTCATGTTTTAAGCCGATTTCACGCGAGGTTGTACGTTTGTGTCATATTTCAGGACTTGGCGGTGGAATCGAGGCAAAGGAACGAGATTTGGATCGAAAGGAGCAAGTAAGGATGGAGTGTGCTGGAGAGCCAAAATACCCGGCCAAAGGCAGGAATACCCGACCGGGTATTTTCTGGCCATGGTCGGGTATTTCCCACTTTGGGCGTCCGTGAGAAACAGAAGGGGGCCCGGGCAGGAGGCTTAAATCCCCGGCCGGGGATTAATGGTCATGACCGGGGATTTTCCCTTCACTGAAGCGGCACGTTTTGAGCATACCCAGTCGAGACCCAAAATACCCGACCGGGTATTTCGACCGGGTATCGCGACCAGGCAGCAGATTTAAGGGAAAGGAAGGCTAACATTCAAGGGTTCCGAGTTTTTGAGAGAGAAAGCGATTCCTAGAGAGAGAAAGCGACGAATCAGAGTTCCCAAGTGCCATAGCTTGATCTTCATCACCATTGGAGCCCGGCTTGAGCTTGAAGGAGTCCCGAACAACGTCCAGGAGCAGAAATCCATCCTGCACAATATGATTTCCGCGTCTGAATCTGCTTTTGCTTCTTTCTCTATGGAGTAGTTCCCTCATTCATCTAGGTATAGGGAACCCTAGATTTGTATGCTAGGTCTGATTGTATGAACCCAAGTACAGAGTTTGTGAATTGATTATATTCGATTGAGGTTTGAATGATTGAAAGACTTGAATCCAGATCAAATTCCTGTTGTTTCTGCTTTGACCTAGAATGAGAATATCTGCCTAGGTTGATAGAGTATCCCTAATTGAAGGTAGCGAATTGGTGACTTTAGTCGAGGAGTCAATTCGCTATTCTGTACCGAATTCAATTCGGTAGTGGAGGTTTGGCTCGTTAGGGCCTCAATCTGTTTACTCCGGTGGAGGTTAGTCGCCCGCTAGAGACTCAGATTGAGAGGGTCTGAAGACCTTTAGTCGAGACTTCAGACTATTTAAGAACCTTCCGCGGTATAACTTTCATGAAAACTGAACTTGGTAAATTACAATCCGGCTTAACTGCAGTCTAGGGGGAACCATATCCGGGTGACCTCTCTTGACTTGATAAACGTTTAACTTGCTTTGCGTTTTTGTTTGTTTGAATCTGCACTAAAAGTTCACTGCTAGATAATGAGAATTCACCGAGTAGTCATCACATCTAGGACCCGGGTTGACAATAAAACCCAAACCCGCTATACTACGCTTTAGGTAGTGGTTACACTTGGCCATTTTCTAGAGTGACAGTAAGAGTGAGTCAAGTTTTTTTGGCTCCGTTGCCGGGGACGGCTAGGTTGTTGAAGAAAAGTCATTTCTGTTACTTTTGCATTTTCGTTTTCGCATTGAGTGTTTGTTTTCTCCCACTTGTGCCTTCACGGGTTTGCATTGCTTGATTGTGTGCAGATAGTGCATGACCCGTAGCCAGTCGGGAGGTTTACTTCCGTTGGATCCAGAGATTGAACGCACCTGCAACCAACTTCGGAGACAACAGCGAGCTAGACTGGCTACGGTGGAGCGTAGAGACGGCCAATTGAGCAGCCAGTCCGAAGACGAGTACGAGATGGAGGGCGAGCACAACCCACCTCCGGTGAACCAGATCCTGGGGAACGACCCCAATCCCCAAGGAGCTGGGATTCATCATCATCCACCACCACCGGGTCCCACCTTGGAGTACTACTACACTCCACGGGTTGCTGACATCCGCCCGGTCATCCTCTATCCGCCCATTCCAGCAAACAACTTCGAGATCAAGCCATGCTGGATTCAACTCATCACATCCTCTATCCAGTTCCATGTCTTGAAGGATAAGGAAGCCCGGGTGCATCTTTCCCATTTTCTGCAGCTAACGAACGGGTTCAAGCTGAACGGTGTCCCGGATGACGCAATTCGCCTTCACCTCTTCCCCCATTCTCTGGCGGGGAATGCTAAGAGGTGGTTGGAGACCCAACCCCCATTGTCCATCACTTCTTGGGACGATCTGGCAGACAAGTTCGTGCACAGGTACTATCCGGCATTGAAGACCACAGAGATTCAGCGGGAGATCACTCACTTCCGCCAAGAGCCAGATGAGTCACTTCGTGATGCATGGGAGTGGTACATGGGATACTTCTGGCAGTGTCCCCATCATGGCTTTAGCGATGCATTCACAGTGGGGAACTTCTACAGCGCCCTCACTCCAGACAGCCAGAGGGTGATAGAGTCTCTATGCCCAGGAGGGGATATTCTCACTAAGACTCCACCCGAGCTGAACCAGATGATTAGTACCTTGGCTGCCCGCGATCATTCCTGGGGGCAGAACAGCAGAGTCAGAAATTCCCGGGATCGTGGTGTGCACGCTATGGAGGCCAGGTCCGGGTTAGAGCAGCAGGTGGCTGAGTTGGTGCAGACATTGAAGCAGCCCAACAGTCTTATTCCGGGCCGAGGTTTGGCTACGCCTCCAGTAGCTCAATGTCAGTGGTGTGAGAGCCCGAACCACCGGGTGGAGGACTGCCAGGCTATGCGGGAGTCCTCTACTCCCCAAGAACAGTTGGCCTTCATCGCCAATGCTCGGCGCCTCGATCCATACAGTAACACATACAATGAGGGGTGGCGCCAACATCCCAACTTCGCGTGGAGTAGCAACACCACTAAACCACCTGGTTTCCCGGCACAGCAGGTGGTTTTCAGCAGAAGCAGCCTTTCCAGGCTAGACAGGGGCCAGTCCCTCAGCAGTAGCCTCAGCGTCAGTATGCCGAGCCAGCAGCAGCCCCAGCTCCCGATAACCAGATGACCGATCTGAAGAATATTTTGGCGGCATTCATGACCACCAGCCAGGCGAATTTCATGAGGGTGGACCAGAGCATAGCCTCTCTGGAGGCAGGACAGAGGAACCAGGGTGCTATTCTGCAAGATTTACAGAACCAAGTCGGTGCCATAGCGCGCCAACTTACTGCCCGGGCACCGGGGACTCTGCCTGCCACCACCATCCCCAACCCTCGAGAGCCGCACGAGCAGCTGGATGCCATCTTCACCAGGAGTAGCAGGCCCACATTGGCTGATCCTGCCCCGACCAGGCAGGAGGAACCACTACCTGCTTCAGCACTTCCAGCTGATGATACAAAGTGCGGGTGGAGAAGGAAGCCCCTGCTCCCAAGCCACAACCAGTGGTTAAAGAGCACGTACCTCAGCTTCCCTTCCCCACTCGCCTACACAAAGACAAGCTAGAGACTGAGTTTGCCAAGTTTATGGCAACGTTGAAGCAGCTCAACATCAGCATACCGTTTGTGGAAGCACTGTCGAAGATGCCCAAGTACGCAAAGTTCATGAAAGATCTCCTCACCAACAAGAAGAAACTTGGGGATCTCTCGACAGTGCTGCTGAACGAGGAGTGTTCTGCTATCCTGCAGAACAAGCTGCCCGAAAAGCGCAAGGACCCAGGGAGTTTCACTATCCCTCTTACTATTGGCAGCATGCATGTAGGCAAGTCCTTGGCGGACCTAGGCGCTAGCATAAACGTCATGCCATATAAATTGTTCAAAAAGCTAGACCTAGGTGAACTTAGCCCTACTAGGATGAGCATTCAGCTAGCTGATCGTTCCGTTGTGCATCCTAGGGGTATCATAGAGGACCTGACTGTTAAAGTGGGTGCACTCATATATCCTGTGGACTTTGTTATTCTGGATATAAATGAGGATGTGGATGTGCCTTTTATTTTAGGGAGACCATTTCTTGCCACCGCCAAGGCACTTATTGATGTGCATGATGGTAAACTGATACTGCGTGCTGGAAATGAACAGGCTACCTTTGCTGTGACTGAATTCGATCACTGTGCTATGATTGCTGTCACACCTGTGCATGCTATTTCTGACCCGGTTCACGAGCCTGTCGTGTATCCTTGTGCACCTCTCATTTTGCAGGATCCCCCTCTCACTCCTTCGCCGCCGCTCCCTCCAGCCTCACCACCGAATAAAAAGCTTAAACAGGAGTGGCGGCCAAAGCAGCAGGTGCCTGAGCCTACTCGGAAGAAAGGTGGAGTCCACTATGAGATGGTCCCACCTCCTGCATCACGATCACCCTGGCCATCCGCGTACTCACTTGCCTGCATTCTGCCGGATGGCCAGGTCGAGCTAACCAATGCTGGTGGTTGCACCCGTAGGGTGCACGGTCACCACCTGAAGCTGTACCTCAAGAGCGATGTGGATCCGCTCTTGGAGTCACCTGTTCCTGCACTCCACTGAGTATCCACCATGGGCGTCCAGCTAAAAGACGGTAAAGAAGCGCTTGTGGGGAGGCAACCCCACCATGGTTTTCATTTATTTCCTTTGTTTTGGGTCGGATTGCCAATAGCTTTGGCTTTGGTTTGTTTTCTTTTGTCTTGGATGATGTACTATTGGGCTGACCATTGGACCTAACGTATTGTGTTTGAGCTCTTTGGTTTCCTTTAGCTGTGTTATGCCTGACTGGTCCTCTCTCCAGTCCGTTTCATGCCGACTGGTCCATTTTCCAGTCTCCTGCAGTCTGTGCACACCGGTAACATCGTTCCCCTTTCCTTCCCTCTTCTCCATTGAGGGCCATGTCGATCTTAAGTGTGGGGGGGATGTTTCTCTTTTGACTGCCTAGTCCACTGTCCAAATTTTTAAAATTTGAGGGCTCCAAGTACGTGTTCCTTGCAATTACCTGCTCAGTATGCTTTGAATTGACAGTCTCTGTAGTGATTTGCAACTTAGGGAGGTAGTGTAGCACTATGGAGGATGTTGATGCATTTAAGAAGTCTCATTTCTTCTTCATATTGTGTTGGTTGATTGAGTGAATTAGTGATCTTAGGACCCTTGAATTGTGTGGTGTTGTGGACTCTCTGCCTGTCATGGACTCTTGTATCATGTTTTGAAAATAACAGGTGCTCGAAAATGTGCTTTAAAATAACGTCTCCCGTGCGAATAGGGCGAAAGTGTGTAAGGGGAGACGGGAATCCGTTCCCAATTTCCACCTACTACCTCCAGCCCCCTTACATGTCTTTCCCCTGCACGAGGCTCGAGACACCCGCTCCTGGCATGGCCGGTAAGAGCCGGGCTCCCGCAAAACCTTTGCTAGGTGGGAGCCCTCGTTTTCTGAAAAAACAGGTTGGAACCCTAGAAAAAAAAAACAAAAAAACAAGCAAAAAGAAGAAAGAAAAGGGGTTCCAACCATCTTCAAGAGGAAAATCGAGCACCTTGAAAAAATGTGAGTCCATGATCCTTTGTTTTTTAGAGTCTCGTCATCCACGATTCATTTGTCCTCTGTTCACTATTTGCCATGATGCCGACTCGAGACTAGTGCTCTCGCCGAAGAAGCTATGAGATGACTTGTGCGTCGGTTGACCTCGTAAGCTGCTAAATGATCTAGGAAGTCCTCTACCTACGATCGAGGTTGTTTGTTGCTATAGAGGTCTGGAGAGTTGCATTGGGTTGAGTTAGGTTTTCTTGAGGACAAGCAAACGGTTAAGTGTGGGGGAGTTTTATAGACCGATAATTACACATGTTTTCACCCATTTTCTGAAGCCGTTTGGGATGTGGACTCTCATGTTTTAAGCCGATTTCACGCGAGGTTGTACGTTTGTGTCATATTTCAGGACTTGGCGGTGGAATCGAGGCAAAGGAACGAGATTTGGATCGAAAGGAGCAAGTAAGGATGGAGTGTGCTGGAGAGCCAAAATACCCGGCCAAAGGCAGGAATACCGGACCGGGTATTTTCTGGCCATGGTCGGGTATTTCCCACTTTGGGCGTCCGTGAGAAACAGAAGGGGGCCCGGGCAGGAGGCTTAAATCCCCGGCCGGGGATTAATGGTCATGACCGGGGATTTTCCCTTCACTGAAGCGGCGCGTTTTGAGCATACCCAGTCGAGACCCAAAATACCCGACCGGGTATTTCGACCGGGTATCGCGACCAGGCAGCAGATTTAAGGGAAAGGAAGGCTAACATTCAAGGGTTCCGAGTTTTTGAGAGAGAAAGCGATTCCTAGAGAGAGAAAGCGATGAACCAGAGTTCCCAAGTGCCATAGCTTGATCTTTATCACCATTGGAGCCCGGCTTGAGCTTGGAGGAGTGCCGAACAACGTCCAGGAGCATAAATCCATCCTTCACAGTATGATTTCCGCGTCTGAATATGCTTTTGCTTCTTTCTCTATTGAGTAGTTCCCCCATTCATCTGGGTATGGGGAACCCTAGATTTGTATGCTAGGTCTGATTGTATGAACCCAAGTACAGAGTTTGTGAATTGATTATATTCGATTGAGCTTTGAATGATTGAATGACTTGAATCCTGATCAAATTCCTGTTGTTTCTGCTTTGACCTAGAATGAGAATATATGCCTAGGTTGATAGAGTATCCGTAATTGAAGGTAGCGAATTGGTGACTTTAGTCGAGGAGCCAATTCGCTATTCTGTACCGAATTCAATTCGGTAGTGGAGGTTTGGCTCGTTAGGGCCTCAATCTGTTTACTCCGGTGGAGGTTAGTCGCCCGCTAGAGACTCAGATTGAGAGGGTCTGAAGACCTTTAGTCGAGACTTCAGACTATTTAAGAACCTTCCGCAGTATAACTTTCATGAAAACTGAACTTGGTAAATTACAATCCGACTTAACTGCAGTCTAGGGGGAACCATATCCGGGTGACCTCTCTTGACTTGAACAACTGTTTAACTTGCTTTGCGTTTTTGTTTGTTTGAATCTGCAGTAAAAGTTCACTGCTAGATAACGAGAATTCACCGAGTAGTCATCACATCTAGGACCCGGGTTGACAATAAAACCCAAACCCGCTATACTACGCTTTAGGAAGTGGTTACACTTGACCATTTTCTAGAGTGACAGTAGGAGTGAGTCATTACCTCTTTTCAGCATCACTGTTCTTTTAATGTTTGTACATTAGCTCTGATGACTTTGAATGGTCCTAGGTAATCAAAGTTGCATAGCTATGAATGATAACATGATGAGCTGAATCGTCACTGTAAATGCTTGAAATTGTGTATGCTTGCTTTAGTCCAGGAATTATTCAAACTTCTAATTCAGTAGCATTTGATGCCCCGGAACGTGAATTTGTTCTGTTGCATAACGTGAAAATGCAGAATGTGAATTTAGTTTTTTTGTTTAAATTTATAGGCCGCCTTCAACTTGGTTGGAGCATTTTGGATTCATTCGACTGTTATGTTTGTGTGGTCTGTTGTATTTGTCATTAACTCGCATAAACTTATGATTGGTGAGGAGTTCAACTTCTGTTGTAACAATTAATTTATATGAATGGCAGCTGCAAAGTTGACTGGAACGGGTGCATCATTTACCACGACCTCTATTTACGATTGGGTCAGGTTATTAGAGAATTAAATATGGATAGTGCAAATGTCATCCCATCTGCCGAACCACAGATTTATCGATCGTCTGTACCATGTGAGTGTCATGGTTTAGCACGAAACTGTTTCAATGCAAATTGACATTAATATTTTCCCTTGAATCTCATTTGTTTAGGGAAACGTCGAGCAGTTTTTATTCATCCTGAAGATCAGTACCAACGTTGTGTTTTATCTGCTGAAGAGGAAGAAGCATTTGAGAGAGGTGTGTTCTCTGTGTTTTAATTTTTCTAATTAGTTCATCTATTCAATGAGTAATACATGGTGTTATATTTAAATTCTGCAGAAGAAGCAGCCTTACAGTTCCAACTCTCTCAACTTCGGCGAATGCTATCCCAAGTTGCCCGTAAGAGAAGACATCATATTTTGAAACAGAAGGTTCATAGGAGGGGCTTACCTTTTGAACAGCAAGGTTGTTGTTTGCTATATTTTGTAGCAAGTGTTACATATTAGGCTATTCTGTATTGTTCACTCTTTATTGATTTCTTTATCAACTTATTTGTTTTGGCGTTGTTCATAGTTTGGGAGCCTCAGTTTAGATTTCTATTACAAAAGCAAAGTCGATTACTTCGACGTATTCATCTGCATAGAAAGAGACGTGGCCGAAGTTTCTTTCCTACAGAAGTCAATCAAAGTATGTTGATTCTAATTGGCACTGTTATACATGACATTGTTCATCTATATTTTGGATCAATTTTTGTACATTGGATATATGTTTTAGTGTTCTGGTCAACATATTTGGTTTCCTATTTTGGTCTTAGAACATATAATGTACCCATTTATGTCATGTATATAAATTAGTGATGTACGCTTCATGTGACCTTATGCAAATAGTGGATTGTTTTTAGATGTGTCAACGGCAAATTTGTGTGTTATGAACAAACTTTGGTGTTTCCTAAAATTTGAGTTATTCTTAATTAAAATGAGCAGCATACCAATCTATCTTTCCAACGAATACTACATCATGTAATTTCGATTCTTTTTCACTACTTAGTGCCAAAACTTACAGTCCAATATATAGGCTTCCCCATGGTTTTATTGCTGATCTGCAATATGATGATGCTCTTGAAATTTGTGAGCGTGCCGACACCATCGATCTCATTATGTTGCAAGTGGATGTCGAAAATCAGGTAACTAAACAAATAAATTTCTTTTTAATCGTACGCCTTTTGGGGCATGCTGCATTTTATCGATTTGCTTTGACAATATTCGTTTCTGTGTTTACATCAGGGCACCTCTTTTCTGTTATCCGAACGTGTAACGAATTTGACGACGTCATGGTCCCCTGCATCCAGAATCCATTTCGTCCACCTCACAATTGAGGACGATTTCATTGGTGTTGACATCGTCTTCCAGTCATCACAGTTACGAACGATTGTTGGATCTGTATTCAGTCATGCAGATGTTGTCAATGCTGACTATATGGCCCTTCTGAACATGCTTGGAGAACAGACATTTGAAGTCATGGTCACAGTCGGTCCCTGGAACGATGCATTTGGTTATTGTGAACTTGTGTTGGTGAAATTATTTTTGCCTTTGTTGAATTGAGTATCATGTCATGAACAATTAGACAATGTCTTGAGTTTTCTTATTTTGGACTTGCATGTTATTTGTCGTAATACTCAACTAGATTAGATTTGTGATTAGTAAAATTTCATGTAAGTATTTTATCGTGATTAGCTCATCTTCAAATGTATTTCTAACTTATTATGAATGTTCATTCAAATTACATGTTCGTCTTCAACTAATTGCAAAATTGCAACAATCTTATGATAATATAAAACAAGACTCATTTCTCGACACTATCATTATAGATATTGTAACTCCATTTCCTTAAACAAATGCGGCCAACGGGCCGGGCTATAGGCTAGTTATATTTGTTATTTTCAAGTAAGCGCGATTATGTGTGTGAGGCATCCCACCGCCTACTTAAGGTGGAGGCACGCGTTGTGCTTATGTGTGTGTATGAATGTGTATGGTTATTGGTAACTGAACCCTCGGGCGGTTGGCCAATACTGGACGCAGTAGATGGTCGGATCACTGCTGGACGGCGAGACGTAACGCAGCAGTTGATCGAGTATGTTGGGGTCACTATTGAACGACGAGATGTAACGCAGTAATTGACCGGGCATGGACTGGACGGCGAGACGTAACGCAGTGCCATTGTCGAGTTTGGGTATGCAACCGGACCGCGAGACGTAACGCGGTTGGCATACTAGGGTAGGACACCGGACGGCGAGGCGTAACGCGGTGGTCCTAGTGTTTTGTGTTTGAGTTAATGATACAAGTCGAGAACTTCTATGAGTTAATGTTGAAATAAGTTGTTAAGGATGAAAGCGAGAACGACTCTCATCTAAAGAAAGGAAACGCTAATAACGTGTTTTAGTAAGGAGTTTGTTGATGAAGGCCCAGGGTAGGGTCTTTAGGTTCAGAATCTCACAGCAAACGAATCGAGCTTGACTCAATTCCAACTCAGCAAGCTATGGATGATTATATTGATGAAAACGGTCAATTTCGTGCAATTCTTCACGCGGAGAAAGGCTCGAAACAGATAGGGTCGATGCTTGGCCACGATCAAGGTGTTGAATTGATCGATACAAGCTTCCACGCTGCTCGGAATCCACCAAGCAACTCAACAATCCACAAGCAAAAGCTAATGAACCAAAAACTCATGTTTTATTCAACTTAATCGATTCTACCTATTACAATGTAATGGAACGTTCTTAAATAGACTCAAGCTAGCTACCAACTCAATATAAAAGTTCTAAACATAAGCAAACTATGAAATCAAAGGCAAAAAGGAAAAGGTAAAAAGAATCCTAATCCGCAAAGGACTCGGACTGCTGAGTTTGCAAGACAGCTTCAGCTGGTCTTCGAACGATCTTGCAGGCTTTCATTCGAAGGCTTCCAATCTTCATTTCAATCATCCAATGCCTCTAGGTTGTAGTAGGAATCTTCTAGTTTCATGTAGTATCGCCCTCTTGGGCCAGTTCCCATTTATCCCTCTCGGATTAGCGTCCAAAGTCGGGTACTCAAGCTGTCTTCCAGACTTAGAAAATTCTGGGCAGTTTTCCAGTGTCAGCATAGAGTTTTGAGCAGCTCAAAAATCGATCTTCCTGGCTTCCTTTTGAGCACCCAAACATGTCCCGTTGTAGAGAGTTATCCCATCTTCCAAACAAGCCTCCAATCCCCTATTTCCATCGAGCCATTTGTAAGGAACGAGCTCGCAAAGTGACCTACCTGAAACTGTAGTGACACTTAACAAAAATTCAGAGTTAGTTAAAGGGAATGAGTTGGATTCTTTGGCCATCAATTCGAGACTAGGAATTGATCTAGGTGAGATCATATCATTTGTTTAGGGCAAATACTTTAGGAAGTAACGACGAGACTCACCAGGTTGGGGAAGGGTTAGCGGATGAGGATTTCGAGAAGAGGCAAGGCGATGCGAGCAGTCGCACCAACATTGACGAGATGTCAAGGAGCCCAACGAGGAGCTAGAGTTAGATGTATTAGTTATAATATGTTCATGATTATGAGTATAAACTGGAGGTTCAAAGTTATGTTGTTATGTAAACTAAGAATTGAGGTTGCCCAAGTGTTTATGGCATTTTATTTGAAAATGATTTTTTGGTATTCGTTTTATTGGTTAATTTTGAGTATTGTTTTTAATCGACTCCGGATCCATGGTTATTTCAGTTTGGTCTAAAGGATCGGGACGTTTCATATCAGTTTTTCAGTATAAAAATCTACTTTTATAATCTCTCGTCACGATTCATTCTTTCTATCCTGATCTTTTGTGATGAAGAAATTTTTCACTTTAGGTACCCATACGTTTTTTTCTTTATTGGTCAGTATGGTGCATCATGATGACTTCCAGGGATGTCATCCGTTTTTGCACCACTCCACACTGCGCATATTTAACTTTAGAGCATGTTTATCTTGTCCAATAAAAGAAAATTGTTTCATATGAATTATAAATCTCTCTCCTCGTACATCATCAATGTGAAATTATAAAATATTACACTTTTTTTATTGAGGGAGATTTTTTTTGGGTCAGTAGATGATAACAGAGATGCAACGTCAAGAACAACAACTATAGGTGTCAAAACATGACCCGACCCGAGTAACCCGCCCAACCAACCCGATCCGCGACCCGCCCGCAACCCGATTGGACTAAAAGTCAAAGACCCGCAACCCGCCCGACCCGTAACCCGCAACCCGCTTGACCCGCAACCCGATTGACCCGAACCCGATTGACCCGCAACCCGCTTGACCCGCAACCCGCTAGACCCGTAACCCGACTAACCCGAACCCGATTAACCCAACCCGAACCCGCCCGATTGGCACGAATAATACTACATAATATATTTTTGTGCATAAATATTATATGAAGATAATATACATATACTTGCCCTATTATTTTTTCATCTTTCCCACCAAGAACAAAGGTTTACTTTGTGTTGACAAATAAAAACTGTCATTTAATTGAATCACATAATAGTCTCACTGTCTCGGTAGATAAGTAGAAATCCTAGGAGGGTTGTCAACATTTTTTACATTTGGTTGATGTATATAAATAATATATATAGATAACACATACATATGAAAAACATGATTGACTTAATTAAGCCAATCATATATCAGTACCTAATAATTACAACATTTTTTCTTCCACAAATAATATAACTGGTCACATAACATTGTCAAAATATTAACCTAGCATACGAAGATTCATAATAGTACATAAGTCATAACTCATACCCTAGCCCCAATAATGAGAAGATACATAATAGTTTGCTTACTAAGTTCTACCATATAAAAAATAGTAGGATACAAATACATAGTTGACATTGTCACATCTTACATACCAACAAAATAGGTTCACAAATTAAAATGGCAATTCACTTGGCGATCAATCAACAAGCTTCACTTCTTCTCCATCATATTCTGCATCTTCATTATCCTCATCTGTACGTTAATGTTATAGTACTTACGTATAAAATACTTATGGGTATTATACTTTTCTCTTAGTTAATGTTATGTTTAATAGTACGTTAATAGTTATAAATATATAAAATTAATTACTTTCATTAAATACGGATATTAAACGGAGTATTTACTAACTATGATGTATAAGGTATACGGTAGTGGACTTGTGGTTTAGAGTTCGAAAGATTAGGATTTAGGACGTATGTTCTTCTCAATAACATAATACAAAAGTGACTTAACTAACATTCTTCACATATCATACGTTAATATTTATACTTTATACCAACAATTTCATAACACATAACTATAGTTCATAGTTTAAGGTTAGTGTATAAGGTATACGGTAGTGGACTCGTGGTTTAGAGTTTGTACTTATAAGACGTATGTTCTTCTCAATAACCGAATATAAAATTGACTGAACTTACATTTCGCACATAACATACGTTATAGCTTATACTAACAATTTCATAACATATAACTATAGTATAAGGTATAGGGTTAGGGTTTAGGGTTAGGGTTAGGGTTAGGGTCTAGGGTATAGGGTTTATTCATGGTTATGCTTTATGTTGGATATTTTGATTTTTATAGTTTATTAATTAATTTGATTTTAACAATTAGTTTAACTTGTGAATGTACATCTTAAATATATCATATTCAAATGTACATCTTAATTTGATTTTATAAACCCCAAATATTTGAGGAAACAATCATTTTTAACCCCCAAAATTAGGTCCAAAGTTCCCTCCTAATCACGGTAATTAATTTACCTGTTTTTAGTTTTCATTTCCCGTGATTAATTGTTAGTCACGGTTAATTCCCGTAAATGATCTGTCAATTTACCTTTTACAAAATTATCTTCCAAAATTTTAGGAGGGAGAATTTCCTTTAATCTCTAATGTTCCAGCACGTCAATTGTGATTTATCTATAATTGACCTAGATGAGATTTAATCTCTAATGTCACTTGAGATTTAATATCCCGCCAGCAAATAATTGTGGGACTAATCTCTAATAAAATAATTATATTGACCCCAGCCAAATCTTTCTCGTCCCCAGCCAATTTTTTTGTTATCCCGCCGCTTTCCTCATATCCCGCCAGCTCTTTCATTATCCCGCCCCAGCCCAGCCAAATTTTCGTTCCAAAAGAATTATCCCCGCCAAGCTGCCCGCCAAATAATTCTCCCCGCCAGCTCTTTCCATAATTTTCGATCCAAAATTCCCTCCCGCCCACTGATTCCCCGCCTCTCCGATCTAAATTTTCGCTTTTTTGCTCCATAACCCAAAAATTTAGCTCGCCCAAATTCTAAAATGACGCCCAAATCTGTTATAGAAAGATAAAAGGTAGCCAGCTAATAGCTACCATATGTAATACTAAGAGCTTAAGATTATTTGTACCTCAATGCATTTGCTTAACCAAAGCATTTATTTTGATATGGTGATCGGTGAGTTTGTTTTAAATTAGTGTAATAACTCCCTAAAAAAATAGTGTAATAACTAATTATAAAAAAAACTCGATGGTGTGGACCGAACAACCCGCAACCCGACCTGTTGTAAACCGCAATCCGATCAACCCGAACCCGATTGATCCGCAACCCGATCAACCCGTAACCCGACTGATCCGCAACCCGATCAACCCGAACCCGCTTGACCCGCAACCCGATCAACCCGAACCCGCTTGACTCGCAACCCGTTTGACCCGCAACCCAATTAACCCGCGACCCGACTGAACCCGACCCGAACCCGCCCGAACCCGCCCGATTGACACCTATAACAACAACATACATCATCTGCTGCGAAACCCTTTTAACAAAGAGATTTTTTATTTGCCGCCACTTTGAGCTCAATATTCTACCTTTAAAATGGGCTCGCTACTAATGGGCTTGCTAAGTACTCTTCTGATGGCTGGGCCGCAAAATCGTTTCTTCAAATCCAGCGAACTGCCATCTAAAGTCGGCGCGTCCAGACATTAACTCCAGGGCTATCTGGATCCATGAAACTTAGCTGGGCCACTTGACACACTATCTGGGCCTAGCTTTCAGACAAAAATAAAACTTCAGGTTAACGTGGAACTCATTTAATAAGGCCCTCCTTCTGACAGGATAACGTAACTAACGTGGTTTTAGATCTCCATTCAAAAAAAAAAAAAAAAAAAAAAAAATGAAACGGACCAAATCCATCTTCCCTACGCGCTTTGTACTTTTCCACCCTGCAACTTGTCCCCTCAAAACTATTCGCCACTTCCCTTCTTCTACCAACCATTTGTCCGATATTTTGTTTTCCGTATAAATTGTTGTATCGTATATCAAAGATGGATCTTCCTATCAGAATATCCCACGTGTAGCAGGCAGTTGACAAAAAGATTAAGTACTTTGTTGAACATTGCCATAGTACTGTTAATATATCGATAGACGGGATCGCATCGTATCATACATTTTCAGTACAATTTCATTATTAACGTCGATCTGCTAGCTTTGTCGAGTGGTTGTGGACACCATTTTAGAAATACCACAACGAGAATTACTAGAGGTTCGGTCCCAAAAAAATGATGAAGATCAAATGGATAAAAACAAAAGAACCAATATGATCAAACAACTAGTCTGTAATTGTCTTTCGCACATTTCCTTATGCTTTGGAAAAATGAATAAAACTGAAAATTGAAATAGAAACAAACCAAAATGATGAATAATCAAAGCACCAAACCTTTGATTTGGGCTTATTCAATCCTATGGGCCCAACTATTATCCACCTAGCCATAGCTTTCTTAGTTTCTTTCCCTGAATTTCCCCACATTTTTAATTTTTTTAAAATGGAATATTAGGCGGGACCCACAACCGACCAGCCTCATCCATTCATTTCAATTTGTCGAGTCACAGAGCAAATCCGAAAAGCGGGAAGGAAGCAACAGAAAACGTCTATATCTATTTTTTTTAATCACTTTTACAAAAAGCGTCTGTAAATTACTGGATCTATCCTCTCCGCACCCACGTGCTCAGCACTTTCCAAGGGCATTACCGTAAGTTCCATCCGCCATTGCCATTTCCTCTATAAAATTCCTCCCAGCTCGTCATCCCGTTTCCCCAGAAAGACGATCCATCAACATTTCAGACGCGCTTCGTTTCGTGCAAGCAAACCGTATTCTCTTCTCTTGTCCTCAACTGTAAGTAATACTTCAAGAAAAATTCTCTTTAGGTTTTCTTCTTTCAGATTTGATTAGTATTCATTACACAGTCAATTCGTTAGTCGTCGTTCAACTCTCTGTTCGCCATTTTTGGAGGCTTAACGGCAGAGTAGCTCATTGGCTATAAGCTCTAAGATCTTGTACATACATAGTATATCAATTGGTAAAAAAAGAAGAAAAATATGAGCAGTAGCAGTTCGATCGGAATCTCTACTGTGAAACCCTGTTGTAGAATCTTAATAGGTTACAGAGGGTCTTCAATCTTCGGATCTCATGCCCGGAGTTTAGATAACCCTAATTCGTCGAAATCTCATTCGAAATCGATCCATAACCGTGGATCTTACTGTTCTAGTAGTAGGAATAGTGGCAGGTCGTCTCATTGTATAGTTCAGAGATGTATAGCCCACCAACCTAGTAGTGTTGTCCATGGAGGAAGGGCTTTTATTAGTAGTGCTTCAGCTTCTTCCAATAGTATTATCCGTTCCAGGATTTCCGCGGCTGGTTTTTATGCCGATAGTGGGATCCTTAGGAGGAGGGGTGTTTTGTTAGTCCCCAAGGTCGCGTCGGATTATAGGAACCAATCGACGTCTGTAGATAATAATCATGTCAATGAGAAAGGGTTCGAGCAGATTTACATCCAGGGAGGCTTCAATAATGTCAAGCCTCTAGTGATTGAAGAGATTGAAAAAAGTGGGAATAGTGTAGTTTTGAATGGGTCAGCTGTGGACTTGGATTATTTCAAGGAGTTGAATGAAAAGACAACTCCCCAGGAGAAGGATGAGCGAGTCGCGTCTGAGATTGAGAAGGAGGCTTGGAAGTTGCTTAGAGCTGCCACAGTCACGTATTGTGGCAGTCCAGTGGGGACGGTTGCAGCTAATGATCCTGGTGATAAGCAGCCGTTGAATTATGATCAGGTCTTCATTCGTGATTTTGTGCCGTCTGCCCTTGCCTTTTTGCTTAATGGGGATGCAGAGATTGTCAAGAACTTCCTCCTTCACACATTGCAATTGCAGGTACTTTATGATTGGAGTAGTTATCCCTTCTTGTCTTGCTTTTATATTTTAGAACTAGATAGGAGCTGGAAGTTAAATTGAAGTGTGATGTACTCTCTATTGTGTGTTCCTTAGAGTTGGGAGAAGACCGTGGACTGTTACAGTCCTGGACAAGGGTTAATGCCAGCAAGTTTCAAAGTTAGATCTGTGCCTTTAGAAGGAACTGAAGGAGAGTTTGAAGAGGTGCTTGACCCTGATTTTGGTGAATCAGCCATTGGACGTGTTGCCCCTGTCGATTCAGGTAACCGAAACATAAAATCATTTTCTTTCCATTGCGTTGTTGCTGACTTATGTAGCTGTTGAAGTCGCAGTAGGTACTTGCATCTCAGAATTCTGCTCTTCATGCAGGGTTATGGTGGATAATTATGTTAAGAGCTTATGGAAAGATCACTGGTGACTATACTCTGCAAGAGAGGGTTGATGTCCAAACAGGCATAAGACTGATACTGAACTTGTGTTTAAGTGATGGATTCGACATGTTCCCTACTCTATTAGTAACTGATGGCTCCTGCATGATTGATAGACGAATGGGTATTCACGGGCACCCTCTCGAAATCCAGGTTTGTTCATCATCTGCCGAATGCTCTTTATTTATCACTTAGTTAATGGCCTTTAGTAATGTTGTGCCCCTTATCTAATGATCTCTCCTGATTTAAATCTAGGCTTTGTTCTATTCGGCTCTAAGATGTGGCCGTGAGATGCTCACCGTCCACGATGGAACCAAGAACCTGGTGGCTGCAATCAATAAAAGACTCAGTGCCCTCTCATTCCACATGAGAGAGTACTACTGGGTCGACATGAAGAAGATAAATGAAATCTACCGCTACAAAACCGAGGAATACTCAACGGATGCAGTTAACAAGTTCAATATCTATCCGGAGCAAATCCCTTCATGGCTTGTGGATTGGATCCCTGAGGAAGGCGGCTATTTTATGGGTAACCTTCAACCTGCTCACATGGACTTCAGATTCTTCACCCTGGGAAATCTATGGAGCATTATTTCCTCTTTGGGAACTCGTGAACAGAATGAGGGCATCTTGGATTTGATCGATACCAAGTGGGACGATCTAGTTGCACATATGCCTCTCAAGATCTCCTACCCTGCTATGGAAGGCGAAGAATGGCGTATCATTACTGGCAGTGACCCAAAGAACACGTGAGATACTTCCTATTATCGATGTGCACTCGTATGACCCTGGAAAAGAACCTGTTTTTTAACATGTTGCTCTCTTTCTGCAGGCCATGGTCGTATCACAATGGTGGATCTTGGCCAACCCTCCTATGGCAGTTCACATTGGCGTGCATCAAGATGGGGAGACCTGAACTGGCGCAGAAAGCCGTGAGTCTTGCGGAGCAGAGGCTAGCAGCTGATGGTTGGCCAGAATACTACGACACTCGTGGTGGCAGATTCATTGGCAAACAGTCACGTAACTACCAGACATGGACCATTGCTGGTTTCCTGACGTCAAAGATGCTTCTGGAGAACCCGGAGAAAGCATCGCTGCTGTTCTGGGACGAGGACTACGAGCTGCTCGAGACGTGCGTTTGTGCATTGGGTGGGAAAGCCAGTCGCAAGAAATGCTCGAGGTTTGCTGCCAGATCACAGGACGGCGCCTGATCAGAAGGTTCCTTGTTCGTTGGCAACCTGTTGATGATAATGATGAAAAAGAAGTAATAAGGAGTGGAGTCACTGCCTACTCCATTATCCCCTGTAGCGTATGGCAATAATTTTTTTTCTTGACTCCATTTTCATGAACCTTCATACGCTCCAACATTGTTTGTTAACTGTAAGCTTTATTTATTTAACTTGTGGTTATGTTATTCGTTCATTTGTTAAGTTCTTTTCCTAAACTCTTTTCAGTGAAAGACATCTCGTAATGATCATTGTGCAAACGTATGAATTGCTCGTAGTACGGTTGAAACGTGAGATATTAAGGATGAAATCAACTCCCTCCGAGACGATTTTACACTGTTCAAGTCTGGGATCAACCATTACAAACATAACTATCACTTCGAGATCACTGTGACTGCAGCCAACAAGCGCTTCAAGTGAAAGAAAACCTACCTCACCAAGTTACATTCCCTTTACCCCTGACTTGGCCAAAATTTCACCTTTACTTGAAATGTAATATCTTTCTAAGATTGTTTAAAGTAAACCTATCATATTATCTTTCTAATTTTCATATTCGGCATGAGATTATTTTCAATTGTTAGCATAGTTAATCCATTACAATTTTCTTGCATTACTTTATAATACAAATAGGATTTTCGAAACATAAATATCAACATACGTATTTAGTGTATATATACATGAGAATTTGAACCAATAATTAACAGTCATATTAATTAACTAGCTTCTTGCCCGCCCGATGGGCGGTGTTATTCACTTTTTATATTTTATTTCATCTTCTTTGTCAGTTTGGTGAATGTATATCTGTCATAACCTAAGAGTTGAGCGAGTAGGTGGTAGTAGACTTCCAATTCTTATAGTATATTTGGTCCCCTATAGAAAATGCGTATGGTCCCCGCCCATCATTCAAACTATGGTCAATCTTGCAGCCCATAGAACTGAAGCAAAATCACCATTATAGAGCCTAGTGCATTCCAAAAAAAGCTTCGCGACCTCGCTATCTGACTCCAGTAGATCTTTAAGGAACCGAATGGGTTGTTGAATGACAGGAAAATTGACTTTTCCTTGTCTACAACAAAGGTTAAAATGTCTAAGTGGTTTACTTTTTTGATCGCGATGTGTTTTCTTCATTCCACATAATAAACACAATATGGCCATGTTCATGAAGGAGGTCCAAATGTGAAAACTCTAACATGTCTAGCAACTGCACACAAAAACATGTATTAATTAAATAGTAGGGAAGAAATAATTCAATCTATTTAATATATATGCCAAGAGGTTAACTGATATAGCTTTAGAAAATAAAGGCCTCATTTTTTTAAATAATTATCTTCAATTTTCTGGATATGCGCTATACTTTAGCATTTTAGTTTATTGATTGAATAGCTTCAACCTATCATTTAAATAAATGAAAGTGACTTGTGGGATAATCAAAGGAGGTCTAAAATCCCTAAAAAAATATTGAGCTCTAAGTTTTTCAAGCAATGGAAAAGTTTATAAATAAATTAGAGTATAGACCGTATAGTAACAATAAAACATGTTTGATTACCTATGAAAGGCCAAAATCCTGTTAAGCCAAATATTTAGAGAGATCATAGTATATTTTGACCATAATTATTATTATACATACTGTCGATTCGTGGAAACTATAGGAGAAGGAATTAATGGACGAAAAATGGTAAAATATTATTTAAGAAACAGTAAGTTGGGCTAATGGTGATATAGAAGATGCTAATTGCGACATTCAAAATTTAAGGTTGAGCATAAAAACTACACATGAAAATAGGAAATGCAAATATATTGTCAATTTCATAAAAAGTACTGAAGAATGATTTAGCTATATATATTTCAAGTATAATTTATACATAAGCCTCCTTGATAACTAAAAACATTCATGTATTCTCTATTTCGCTCAAACTTAGAATGCCAATATATTGTAAATTTCATGAAAAATATTGAGAAATAAATTAATGGTCGAAACCGCACAACAAATTGACCACACATAGAAGTCTACTTTGATAAAATGGGAAGGAACAACACTTTTTTTTTAATATCTATTTTTATCCAAAAAAATTTCATATTCTTTTATATTATTCAAACCTATTAAACTTCTATTAATCATCCAAATCTTTCATAATGTATCAACATATTAGTCAGTTTTACGTTATCGTTAATAATTTTGTAACTCTTTTCTTAGTTTAAATACAAAAATTTTGGAATGTTGTCCTTCATGAGTCTCTTCAAAGTCAGTATCATGTTGCCAAGTCAATATTACTAACAAAATTGCAAACTGGAAGTTAACATTTGACTAATTTTTAATATTTCGATAGTTTTGGATAATATAAAAGAATATGAAAAAGATTTGGATAAAAAATAGACATTACCCTTTTTTAGGGTTAATATATTTGTATGACCTGAACTTTTCACATAATAAACATCATGGCCAATCTTTTTGATCTATAACATCATTGCCTAAACTATACACCAAAGTAACGAAATTGGTCAAACCCAAAAATTGACTGTTATCACTACAACAAAAACTAGTTTTTGCAACCAAAAAGTTTGCAACCAAACTAAAATTGGTTGTGAAAAGGGTAGTATATGCAACCAATTATATTTTAGTCACTGAAATATTAAAAAATTTGGTTGTCTACTAAAGTAAAAGTATTGATAACCAAATAAAACTTGAAGAGACCAAATAATTTGGTAGCAAAATGATTTTTACTTTTTCCAACCAAATAATTTTGGTAGCAAATTGCTTTTTACTTTTTTTAACCAAATAATTTGGTAGCATATTAATTTTTACTTTTGCCAACCAAATATTATTGGTTATGAATTGAAACTAGAATTTTAAAAATCTTAGATTTCTAAATGATTTGGTTGCAAACCCAATAAATTTATTTGCAACTAAATTATTTTGGTTGTCGTACTTAGTATATTAAAATGTAGGTACTGTATAATGATTATTATTAAAACTTAATGACTGTCGTAGTAATTATGAAGAAGAATCCACCTTTACCTTCTTCTGTACTCCTTCCTTCTTCCGCTAAACCGGACTCCTTCTCTCTCCTAATGTCGATTACATCCGACTTTTCCTTCTCTTCTTCTCCATTTCGATTCTGACTCCAGCTTTTCCGATTCTCAGTTTCTCACGCCATCCTGGTCGCGCCTCATCGTCATCTTCACCTCTCATCGATCTGTCCCAGAGACGGAGGCTAGGCGCCGTCATCTTGATCCCTGGCGACAAGATTGGCACTCTCGTCACCAGCGCCGTTGAGAAAGTCATGGAGGCGATGGAGCACGAAGTCGCCCCAGGCGTCGTTGAGAGAACACAGAAGGCGGATACGCCGGCTTGAAGCACGAGTCGTCCATGGCATCGTAGGGAGAACACGAGAGTCGATAGTCGAATACACTGGCCTGGAGCACGAGCGCTCCAATCCATAGCCATGGCATCCAATCCCTAGACAGCGCCGATGCGATTTTGATCGCGATTTACTGCCGCCATCGTAGGAACTGTGATGCCTTCTCTCTTTACTGAGCTAGGGTTCTGAAATTTCTTGTCGCAGGGGAACTGATCGCGAATTATCCCGCCTCCAGCTCTGGCCAATTTCATCTCCGCTTCTTCAAGTCTTTGCGTCAGGTAATAATTGATCAATTATCTATTGAGGTCAATGTTGATATGTGGAGTTTTCTAAAAACTAACTTCTTAGTTCTTCCTTTAATTGGCCAGTCCTTGATGTTAGTTCTTGAGTGTAGCACTAGGTGAACAGAATTGGTGATACTTGGAGTTTTCAACTATGGATATATAGTCCATTGAAAGTAGCTTGTGTTTCTGGAATTCATAGGCCAAGTTGTCTTCTGGGTTAACTTTGGACTATCTCCTGGCCAAGGACGGAAAACAAGCATGGGCCCTGATAAGATTGCTCTACTTTTACAGGCATTTGCACGCTTAAGTGCAGTGTATGGTGGAACTTATATGCTTAACAAGCCAGACTGCAAGGTGATTACACTTAGCTTATATATGTGTGTTGTATACCAAAGAATATATATAAAGGATTCTGCAAACAGATTAGTTTAGAATAATACTGTATGGCAGGTGAAATTTGATGAAACCGGGAAAGTCATTGGTGTGACTTCTAAGGGGGAGACTGCCAAATGCAAGAAAGTTGTGTGACCCTTCTTATCTCTCTGATAAGGTAGGTAGCTATATTTCCTTTGTTTTGTTTACCCTTCAGTTTCTTAGTCTCACTTAACAATTAAGTTTCTTTATTCTTTCTCTGTCTTAAATTCAATTCAACTTCCCTCTTCCCTTATTTGTGTGTATATTGTTAACGCAATTGGAGGTAGGGAGAGCTCCTGATGATTGTAATTACTTTTGGCTGTCGTATGTATCTGTTCTGCTGCTTCTATGCCCATTATGTGGCGGAAAAAGGGAAGTATAGCTCGCCTATGGGGTGAACCAACCATGATCAAAGCTGAAAAGTTGTTGATCACGGATTCTCTATATAATCCAGCCAATCAACGATTTGTTCTTCTCTCTGACAGGTTTGTTGGTTCACTGATTTGCCTTTTCTCATACCACTGCATTTATTAGTATATTGCTGTAATTATGTATTTTGGTATATTTATCTTGCAGTTGTGTTCCTTTGTACTCCTTCAGTACTTACAACTACATAATGTCCTCCCCCAAGAGCTTTTGTTGACCGATAAATACTGAAAATCGTTCCATTTTCTGTGTTCTTATAACATTATAGGTGGGACTTCTTTTCTTTTGTAACTAAAGCTGAAGTTTCCATTGTCTGTTGTTTGCTGCTGCAGTTTTGTTGATGTTACAAGTCAAGAGGCCATTATGAACATGATATGTCTGCTACAACTCCCAGAAGTAAATGGCGAAAAGGATCACAGGTCAATTTTCATAGATAGTGTAACAATTCATAGATTAACTAAAAACTTTAGGATTAAGGCTTCATGAAATCAGATTGAGGGTGTCAAGTTCTTATGTTGGATTTACTAAGTAGTGGGTTACTTTGTTTAGAAAACATGCTGAAATCAGATCTTGTAGGCAGAGAAATTCCTTTGTTTAAATTGTTGATGAACTTTTTCATAACGAGCTTATAGAAGGCATGGTGTGGAGTAACTAACAGAATATAGTGTCTCTAATTGAGATGATCAATAATGGATGGTTGGTTGAAATGCTATACTGCTTTGTTGAAAAATGGCTGGTTGTTTGGTTGGTAGCTAAACTACTTAGAGCAACTACTATAGAAACGAAGCAGTTTTGAGGAT